ATGCCTGCAGTCTTTTTTTTTTTTTCTTCTCCATTTCTTTAAAAAGATCCAGGCGTGTGGGGAAAAAATAGCACACGGTCAAAACCGTCCTGGGTACAAGGAGGGCGGGTGTGCATTTATTTTTTGCAGCACGTGTTTTGTAACCCGGGTTCAAATAAACATTTAATCTGCCGGCGGTTTATTTTTGGCGAGGGGGAGCTGCTGCTCGCAATGTATACACAGCAATATATCCTGGAGAACTTTGTGTACAACCGAAGGGATGAAAACAAGCGACGCTCAGTCTGTCTGCAGGGCTCTGAGCAGACAGACTCGTAAAACTAAAAATCGGCCACATCGGACACCACTTCCCCCTGGATGATCCAAACTGGATACGTGTAGAGACGCCTCTGCCATTTATACACCCCCACCAGTCGGCTTAAAGTGCATGTAGACCCCAACTTCACTTCCAATTAAAAGCCCCAACCTGGATCGCCATTATCTTTTATATTGCAACTATTGTCTAGTATTTCTATGACTTCACTGCGAGCATTTAAACCCTGATGAAGGGGAAGTGTTGAGCTCATTCAAGTCTTGTGGTGTTCTCATCCTTTTTAATGCACTTTTAGAAGACTCCGGAGACCCTTTGGGACTCACCAGTAGACAGAGAGGTGGATTCCAGAGACCCTTTGGGCCTCTAGAAACTTATGGTTTTAATCTGCCCTTCCTGAGGGTCCAGTGCTCCACCTAGGGGCGTACTACAGATCACGGGGGCCCCACAGCAAAAATGTGATAGGGCGACCCCTGAAGACCTCCTTCTGAGCTGTGACCAATGACACCAAGATCCCAAAGACTCCTCTTGTGCATGCGACATCAGCTTTCCTACACTGTAGACTTTACAAAGGATTAGGGCTGTCATCAACTGGAACCACTCCAACCCTTAATGACACAGTACTGTACGATCTTCACATGTCCTATGTTTAATTTGCCTCAACAACCTAATCCCCCCCCCCCCACTCCATCCTTCTACCCCCAGGCCCCATAGCAGCTACCTGGGCTTCTACGACTATAGTTACACCACTGGCCCCACAAACACATATACTATCAAGGCTTTAATTGCAGTGTTCCCCCGCCATGGAGATTTACCCCGTGCGTGCTGGAAAACACAAAAGGAGCACAAACCAAATGGTGGAAGAGTCAAGCAGCTTTATTGATTAGGAATATGATCACATGGGACAGCCAATGCGTTTCGGGCCCCCTCCATAAGGGCTTGGAATTGTTACTAGGGCTTAAGTAGTTGCCAGACAAATCTGGATTAAGTCTACCCTGTTTGCTGGTGGGATGTCAGTACCGACAATGGTAACAAGATGTCCCTGAATAGTTGCCTTGATCTTGCTCCTAGGCCCGTGGCACTGTCCACATCCCTCAGTCAGCTTCTTCATGTGCTTAGTTCGGCTCCATAGACAGCTCGGTGACCATCTACCAGCCTCATAGAAGTCTTTGGAGCTGAACTGCGCACATGGGATCAAGAAGCCAATGGAGAAATGCAAACAGTGAGGGCCTCAGAGCGAGATCTAGGTAAGTGATTTGGGAAGAGAGATTGGGCTACACCTGCTTAGGGGTAAGGGGGCAAAAAGGTAAGGAAACAAAAAAAAAAAAAATTGTAGGAAGTTTCTTTAGCCTTTAAAGCAAACCTGTCGTGAGAGAATTATGGGTCTGCCATTGCTAGTCTCTGCCCGGTCTGGAGTGTCAGAATTCCTCATCTCTGTGTTTGTTCCAGGAGAGCGGCTCTCTGACAACTGAAGGCGAATCATGACAGCTAGGGATCTAGCGTTCTCCAAAGTAGACGTCCATTATGGCAGCCTAGGGAATTTTCTCATGGCGGGTTTACTTTAAAAAGGAGAACTATGAGGTGAGTGCTTTTCACTCACCTCATAGTTCTAGCCGACCTGTGACAATGAGACTGTCACAGGTCGGCTCAGTAGATCGGGAGGTGAGTGAACACATACCGGCGTTCGCTCACCTCTCGATCCTGTCACGGCTCTCTGATGTGACAGGGGAGGGGCTGGATTCCCCCCTCTCCGCTCCGCCAGCGCTGACTGGCGGAACGGACGGGGGAGGGTACAGCTGGCTCTGCCTCTAGATAGGCAGAGCCAGCTGTCACTCATGCAGCTGGGCGGATCCCCGCACAATTGTCGGGATCCGCTTCAGCTGCGGCGTCTCAGTATATAGTGAGCTACAGCTCGCGGTATACGGAGCCCAGGGTGACGGGAGGACGCTAGTTTGTGTCCTCCCGTTACCCTGAGGAGAACTATGGGGAAAAGCCTTAACCGCATAGTTCTCCTTTAACATATTCCTGTTTCCATGCAGAGAGAGGGGTGATGCTGCTCCTCGGAGTCATTCAGCGGTTCTTTCTTTGCAAATTCAGGGTCTGCCTGGGCATATACAACCGCCATCTTTCAGCATTTACATTTTTGAGGGGGATGCCCAATGTAACGGTCTTACCTACTTTGGTGTGTGATCAGTACAGGGCTAAACAGAATTGGAGAATAGACAACAAGAAACACAAAGCTCTAGACCCACCTGCCTGCCCTGCTTCAGCATTGCCGGGTTGCTGGACGCCGCCCTCTGCGTCACTCCCAGGAGGCTGCTCGGTCCCAGTATCCCAAGCCGTGAGCTGGGCAGGTTGCGGGACGGGATCTGGAACTGGCGCGGGTTTCTCCTGGCGATGGCGGCACCTACAGATCCAGCTGTAGGGAGCGAGTTCGACTGTCCGAACCCGCGGCTGCCGAAAAAGACATCAGCACTAGTCCAATTAGAATCGACATTGCGGAAAAAGTGGAAGATGTCAAATCAAACTGCACCTTTCATAGTCAGAATGGAAGCAGAGGCTTTTCTAAGCAATGGTCACTGAGCTTTGTTAAAATGGTCCTGCCATGAAGCTCCTTGTCCAGGCACTTCCTGTTACAGGGCGACAACGCCCTGTCCTGGTCTTACAACTGTGCTCTTGCACGGACAACCCTGTCACATGGGCTTGCAATGGAAACCACAAGCAAAGGTGCTAATGCACATTACACTGGCATGGCCCACTGTTATCAGGTAACCCTCACTGAGAAAAAAAGTCATGCAGCCATGAGTGGGGTACATGTAGATAGGAAGTGGCTACAAAGGGGCTGCAGGATATCAGCAGCACTGTGAAAAGAAAAAGGTGGAGAAAAAAAAGTGACAATACAGTAGCACAAATGGGAGAGCAGGACAGAGTTGTCACCCTATAACAGTAAGTGGCCTGAACAAGTGACATCATGGCAAGATCACTTATTTAAAAACATAAAAACAAACTTTTACAACATCAACATGTTCAAGCTTCTATGATATTTTAGTAAGTGGGTTGACATATCCTTTAAAAGACGGCGCTAGCATTGAATTTACCATATCAGACCCACCAAGTCCAGCAGATCTGCATGTTGGCACCCAGGATGGACCCCAGTTGAGGCAGTAGCATGCCTGTAAGCAGACAATTATAAACCCATGCATGTAAACACACATTAGAATATAGAAGCGGGTTTTCCCCGAGTAGCTGATGAAATGCAGTCACTAAGGTAACTAGCACACGGGGACATCAGAAGCCAACCTACTTTCTCTGCTGCCGGTACCCAGCAACATCCAAGAGGGTTTTCCGTGGAAAAGACCTGTACAGCTTCTGAACTTGCTGTTTCCATGACAACAGTCTCTTCTTCTGGGTCTCCGTGAAGGCCTGTGCAAAATACATCATAGTTAGCCGAGGATCTGCAATACTATGCAACAGTTTAACCGGAGCAGAAGGAGAAACCCCGTACAGGATACATCTATCCAAAGAACTAACATTGTTACTAATATCGTATACACACACACACGTCATGGAGGAGAGAATAAATAGAGAGGAGAGAGAAAAAAACAAAAACAAAGATAGGCTAATGAATAAAAGGCATGATTTTGAAAGAGAAAAGA